TTTGAAGATTGTAGTTGGTGCACCAGTATTCCAGTTGATGACATAATAGAACTGTTGTTGGACTAATCAGAATCTTGATTTATTGTCACTGGCGGTGCCTAAACTGACTATTGTTTAGTTGATTGTTTCAAGTTTTCTTTTTCTTTTTGCTTTTGTTTTCTGCAGCAGACAAAACTTGATGGTATTTTTTGTACTGATAATATATGGTATAAATTCGAATTCCTTCTTGATGATTGTCAACGAACAACAAAGGTTTTTGGTAGAAGTACTTCGTTTTTTGTCTTCCACAGTTATTATACAAATGCTTTTGTAGTGTATAAAGTGTGTAAACGAGTGAAACTTGTAAACTTTTGTAGTGTAAACGACTTTTAAGGTTTCGTTGTATTATATGAGAAATGTTAATGAAAATTTTGTTAGGACAGCATTTACTTTGTTGTTGTTGTTGTTCTTTTTTGTCTTCTTTTGGGGTGGAGCAAGAAAGGTTAGAAGTATAGCCAAAATTTTTGCGTTTAAATTGGTGATGAGGTATTTTAGAGTGAATTTTTTTTTTTTTTTTTTTACTGTTCAATCTGTTGTTGTCAAAATTGATTTTATTACAGCGATTCACATTGCATTGAAGTTGGTTATATAAAATTTTGGTTCAGTTCACTTGATTAATCTTAAGAGTAGACTTTTGATGGCTATAATTCTAAAAAAAGAAAGTTTTGTTGAGTTTATCCGGGCAACCAGTAAAAACAGATGGGCGATAAATGTTATCAGTTTTGCTTAGGAAACGTAAGAGACAAAATTTGGTTTATTAAGTTATTCTGCCAAAGTGTTGTATTTGTTTTTCAGAGTTCGTCAAAGTTAAAGTTGTTCATCATTTCTCTGTTGCCTATCTGAATCTTTAAAAACTGCTTTCTTTCTTGTTTTTTGATATGTAGCTATTTTTAAGCAAAATTTTTCTATTCATTACTGCTTTGTTTGTTTACTGTCTCGTATATAGGCAGACGGTAAAGCATATGTATCAGTGGAATAGTTGAAAGCAGTAATTTTCGGTACAATCGTTTTCGTCGTTTTTTTATTTCAGCTGCCTATTGCATCAAAAATTTTAATGTCATTTATTCAGGTGGAAACTCAAATGGTGGCAATTCTATAGTCTTATCTCTTTCTATTTTTCTTTCCTTGGCGTTATCTTCAACGATGTTGGGTAATTGATTTTTATCAACAAAACTGTTCCTGATAATTCGTGAATAATCAGGATTCAATTTATCAGTCTTACTGCTCGTCTACGGAATTTAATTGCGACCATTTTTATTTCTTAACGGAAC